TAATCACGGGTCACTTCCGTTAAATACGCCGAAAATCGTGCCTTTGCCAGTACAGTGAAATTAAAATTTGACTTCTTCAAGTATTTTAATTGTTTCAGTACGGTGATCTCCCCAAAGGGCATAAGTCTTTGCGTGAATGTGGAAAAATCAGTTGAGTGTACTTCATGATGACGGGTCTAAAGCGATACGTTTGAACTAGCAGAGGTGGAACTGAATCCTAATGTTGCTAATAGATGAGGGTTGCTTAGTCGGTTAGGCATCCTAGGAACCAAGAGGTCCCGGATTTGAGCCATGGCCGGGTCAATCACTCGCTTTTCTTTTCGAGATTGACTAACGAGTATCATCCTGTGGGAGTGAAGCAGGAGACTGCAAACTATGCTTACCCTTAGCTGTAGATTCTGCCTTTAAAATAATGCACTGCTGTATTTTGGTACAGAAATGGAGATCAGTGCATCACCGTTAATTTCATGAAAAGAAGACCGCTTGAAATGACCCCATCGTCATTGTATGGAATATTAGCGTTCCTGAAGTTGCAAACTTTCCTTTCTTTGATGTGCCAGCTTAAAAGCCAGGTTCGTCCATAGAATATATTGGCGTCGTTATTAGCAGCATTTAATCGTATATTTGGGCGGCGCATGCGACCAAATCCGTTGTGTTTTACTGTACTTGGCGACGTAGAAATATTTGTCCTCTAATAACGCTGATAAGTATCTTCCTGAAGACATGTGTTATGACATTATTGCGTTGTGTTACGCATGAGCATGAATTGTTTTCAGTGATACCCTAACCATCATAGAAAGAAGAGGTTGTGTCATAGCGCCGTGAAATTCAGACTGTTTGCAAACGTTGGCTTATTTGCATGACGGTCTTTTGATGAAAACACGCCAACCATCTTGAACGTTTATTTGTTTTATATCTGTTTGTATAGCCTGTTTATTATGAATTTCAAACAATTTGAAGAATCTGTGTTTTACTGATTTTTGTTTTCTAGCAGTTCTATTTGCCACATTCGCATTATACGAGATGGTCGGCCCAACGAATATATGGTTCTGTTGTATTTTCGGGATATGGTATGGCAACTTTGTTTGTCATACACCATATTATAACATGTTTTCAGGTGTGTGCAGAAGAATTTTATCGAAACGTCGATGGCACTCGCTTCAACAGTATAGAATCGGACATTTGTCACCTAGTCTTTGTGTCCAGGGTTGAGGTGATGAAGGAATCTGAGGTAGTTTTCGATTGTTGGGAATAGTTAATTCCGCTGAATAATTTTGGTTAATTGCTAATTGCCAATTGGCGTAAATTAAAATACGGGTCAATTAAATTATAATTGCGGTTTTTGCATGGTTGGTTAAGCGTAGCTTAGCAAATGGGTAAATATTTATTGATGCAAGGTCCTCGGTTTTAAGATGAGTGATATTTGTATATTACGCACCGTATTTTTCGAAACAGCGATTTAAATAAATGGCTTTATTTAAATTTTATTTTATTTTCATTCTGTTCAAGGCTTGTTCAACTTCTTCCGGTGAGATTTTTTCGACTAGACCCTGGTTTTGTGGGATCTCTTCCGCCATCTCTCAGGGATGTTCTTCGTTTAATAACATGCCTTCGCCGTCGGTTGGGAATATTTTTCTCGTCAGTCAGCACCATTCCTCTTGTCTTTCATGCACCTTTTTTTACCGACGTCTGTTGTTCTTTTTTCTATGGCGTTTGCTATGCGCTAAATGTCTTTTCCCCTTCCTTCGTTGTTAGTTTTACGTACTGTCTCTTGCAATATGTGTACTTCGCTTCAGCGATGACTTTTTTGTCTCCCTCTTCTATCTAATATATTTTATTGTTTGCCGTCTGTTTGATACCTGCCATTTCGTGAACAGCTCTTTCTTTTGTCGTAGGGTCACCTCCATGTCCGCATTCCACCACCACGTTTTTTTCTGGATATGCATTGTGCCTTTTTTGACTTGACCTATGACATTCCCAATGCTTATGTTGGCCATCCGCTCCTATACTTCGTCTTGTTTCCTTTTCCAGTCTTCCTTCGCCATTTTTCTCGTAACATCCATTTTGAACTTACCATCGAGCTTTCACCACTGTATCTTCAGGGCTGTCGCCCTGCCGACCGTCTGAATGGACTGTTTCAGAGAGGTCTAAGCTGGTGCTGGCTTGTGGCAGTTTCCCCGGGGATAACCTTGCTATCTCTGTCATTCTTAATTTCGTTCTTTTGGAACAGGAAGTACTCAATCTGACTTTTCCTCTATCCGCTCTTGTAGGTTAGCAGGTGATTTTTTCTTTTCTGGAAGAACGTGTTTATCAGAGTAAGGTCATATGTAACTGCCACCTACAAGCTGTTCTCTCCTTCCTTATTTAAGATACGATGTCCACCATTGATCCTGTTGTAACCCTTTTATATTTCCCGACGTGCCCATTAAGATCATCCCCGATTATCACTTTTTCGTTTCGTGGAATGTTTTGCAGTGCAATGTCTAGGCTCTCTCAGAATGTGGACTTTCGGCTTCATTCTGGCCAATTTGGAGCGTAGGCACTTATCATATTAAAGCCACCATTTTCTAAAGTTAGCTTAACGCCCATGATTCTGTCGCTAATTCGGTTGACTTCGAATACCATATTTTTGTAGCTTCATTCAGTACCACTCTAGCTCCGTTTGTTCTGCTTGATGTTCTTCAGTAAACGAGTTTAAAGCCCAGCCCAACCTCTTTCGACTTCCTACCTTTCCATTTCGTCTCCTGAATGCAAGCTATATAAATTTTTCTTCTCTGACGATCTTCCACTAGCCCCATGCCCTTTCCAGTCATTGTTCCAATGTTCAAAGTAGCTGTCCGCATTTTCTCGCTTCGTTTTCGGTGTGTCAGTCTCTCCATTTGCCGTTGCCGTCGTTACAATAACTGGTACCCTTGATCATTTCTCGCAGCCGCCCATGATTTGCTGCTGCGCGTTGCCTGTGGGGAACGCCCTAGGATTCTTTCCACAGGTAAGTTGACTCGTGTATTTGGCTTTGGTATTAGTTTTTAATGCCGGCTGCCTGTCTGACGCCAACCTGTCATTCTCAACCGGGCTAGGAGCCAGCGATGGTTCGTTGGGATTAGCAGTGTGCTCATTTAATGAGACACGTACTCTCGATGTCACCACGCAGTCATCGGGTCATGCAGTGTTTTCTAAAGCCGATTTTGCCAAAGGTCGGCTCGCCTCACCCTCGTAGCACTGTCGTCATGTTGTCCGCAACTGTTTATTCCTCAGAATCTCCGCTTATTTCGCAGCTACCCCTCATATATGAGGGTTGTCCCACTATCCGCAATCTGTGGACGCGTTCGCCGGCACTTGACCTTGCCTCGGCACTACTGTCGGACTGAACTTAAATTTGCCATTCTATTTTTCCATTTTATAACGTTAAGTAATGAATGAAAAATTTCTTCTGGTCGCTTACAGTAAATTTTTCGATTAACGATGCAGGTCTTCTCAAATGTTTGTATTTGACTAATTTCTATAATCGATAATATTGCATTTTGAACAGCTTAATGTATTGATCATTAGTATACACTAAATACTTTTAGGGAGCGAACTGGCCGATATCAGGATGCACCGAACTGCCCACATGTTCAGTCTGCCTGGAACGCATGGTACTGCAAAATGGTTTTGCTATTATCTTAACGTTTTTCAGTCAGATAGTGTAGGACGAATCGGTGGACGAAATTCTGACCATCCTCTGTAATCATTCTTTCCACGGAAGCTGTCTGTCACAGTGGTCAGACACTACGTATGTATCTTTCTGCAATTAAAATCTTTGAGGGGTCTCAAGTCTAACGTTAAAATTCAACCTTATTGTTGACGAAGAGCGTAGGTAAATTTTTCTACTAATCACATAAAAGAGAAAAAATTGAATCAGTGAAGTATTGAATGTATGCTCGCAGCTGTTTGGGGAATGGTGCTGAGGTTTTGTTCGTGTACCTGCTCCAGTCATCTTGAAATCTTGATGGCCAAGTAGCGGATGACTATGAATCAGGCATGTATCGGGTTGTATAAGGTGTTCTGATTTTCAATCACTGTAATAACAAACAGCAAATCGCTTAGCAGAACTTAAATTTGGGAATAGGCAGTAAAATACATATCATTGCCTCTGGAACGAAACTTCGAAGCATTTTGGTTTTCATCCGTCTGCAAGGAGGTATATGTTCGTTATGTTTTTGAATTGCACTGAATGGTCTTCACTTCCTGTTCCATCGTTCAAGACAACACATAAAACAGACAATATAAAATCCATTATTTGCCTACACGTTTCGAAACCGCACATCAGCGCCATCATCAGGGTGATCTTTTCGTGACAATTATCATCATCATGGTGAAGACGTTGATAGGCAGCACATCGAAACGCTTCGAAAAATGAACAATTTTACATCGTTCGTTTTAATCGTTTGCCTTGAACCATGGATCAGGATTCGAAGATCATTCACATTAGTATTTTTTATTGCATGGTCAGAGTCGACACTGAATGACTAGCTGAATGACATTGAAAGCAAATCGGGAATAACGAAAGTCATCGCCGAAGCCAAGTCGAAAGAATGCAATAACTCAGATGCTAATTTGATATGAAAGAATGCAGGAAAGAAATCTTTCCATGGACAAAACCTGTTGAAAGACGAATAAGAGACATGGGTAAAGTCAAATGCGTAAAAGACGAAAACAATAAGGTGCTAGTAAGAACAGTATTCGCAGCTGATTGTGAAGACATTATCTAAGGTTAATGAATGGAGAACACCCCATAATTACCTAAAATTCAAAGGAAGTCAAACAGTGTAATGCGATGAATCTCATCTAATGCTGCAGACGAAGTTTCATTTTTGCATGTGCTCATTAATATTCCCATTCTTTCGTTCATTAATTCACTGCTTACCTTCATTCGTCTTCGTCATTCATACTTGAATACCCTGAGGCGAATGGCAAATAAAAACCACCTGTCCAAAGAAACTCCTCATGTAATCATGAAAAGTATTAGGACAGAAATGCTTTGCTTGGTTCTGTTCGCCGTTTGCACATGGAATCACAGAATGTATAAAAAAATACCGTAAACACAGTATATGAGTATTTTCAAGTCAATATACCAAAATGACAGCAAAATAATGACCTTAAAATGTTTTGCTTCTTCAAGATATTCGGTTTTAGTAAAAATCTGTGGAAAAGATTTGAGCAGAAGACTGAGAAAAGGGATGACATGCTGAAAACTACTTTGGCATTATGCCAAGCTAATCAACTAAAAGCACTCTCTTACATTACATATGATCTGTTTTTTGGAGCATACATTAAAACATAATCGAGGGTTAAATTTTTGGCCGCCAATGCCGATATTTGGAAGCTACTCTCATGGAAATGGAACAGCTACAAGTTTTCGCTAAAGCCAAATGTTACACATAGCAAATGTACTAAAATGGATTCCTGCAGTGGCATTTAAATCGCCTTTACATAAGTCATTGTCAGCGATCAGGCTGATTGTTTGCCTTAGTTGTATGCACACGTTCAAATCAAAAGGCAAAGAAATGAAGGAAAGTTTGTAACCGTTCGAATATCAATCTTCACTTTTATGACTGGGCTATTTTGTTACCATTCTTTTCATGAACTTGATGGTACCGAGTTGGTATCCATTTCTGTGCCGTCAGTCAGGAACGCCTTACAGCCATGTGGCAAGCGTGGCGTGTAATCTCCTGTTTGCCTCTCACACAGTGCTACATATTTATTAAGAGGTACGGACGATTGACCGTGAGCAAGTTTGAACTCAGAACCTATCGATTCTGAGTTCGACGCTCTACCCACTGAGCAACCCCGGAGTGAAGCAATACGTGGTAAATTCCTTGCTCGATAGAATATGTGAATAAAGCTGAGACTGTCCTTGAGCGGAATCGAGTCCCGCACCTCTGAAGTTCGAAGCAGACCTCTTAGACAACTGTGCCAACATACTAAGGCGCAATCAAAACAAGACTTATACTTGATTTTTGGAAGCAGTTCTGTTATGAGTTATTAGTATTCATTATGTTGGCAACAATTTCGAGATCTGCATTCTAGCTATAGCTATAGCAGAGCTGGATCGTTCTAAACATGATAAAAGGTATTTGAAACCGCTGGAATGTATATCTTCCTTACACTTTCAAGTTTTGGGCATTTCTTACGGTTGTTTTTAAATGAAGTTAACGGTGTGGTGTTGATCTCATTTTTATGCCATCAGTCAAGAATGCCTTATTTTGCAGGCACAGTCGAAGTAGCTGTGTAGCAAGCACAGCGTTGTCTCCTGTTTTCTTACCATAGAGTGGTACTCATTTATCAACCTCGAACAGGAGAAGTCTGAGTGGCCCCGACCAGGCTTGAACTCAGGACTTATCGATTTTGGGTTGAACGCTCCGCTGATTCAGCAGCCCCTGTCACTATTGCGAGGGATAAGTTTTGCGTTGCATGTTAGGCCTTATGGACAGTAAATGTGACCCCAGGGTCGGTGGCATTATTCAGGACATCGCTGGTTCAAACATGCTGCCGTTGTCCCAAAATCTAAGTGACAGTGAAATGCAGTTATTAATGACTAGGTTTTACCACTGGAATGTACAAAATATCTGCCAGGCCTGTGTTACACTAAGAAATAATTTTTCGATGTTTTGCAAACTTTCGAATGCATCCAGCTCCGTTTCTTTCTGTAGGTCAGTTTATCTGTTCATAAATATCTTCAGAGCAGTTTTGTTTTATTTGACGTTTTGTAGATTAATTTGCGTTGGTGTTCATGCTTAGAGCTGAAAAATGGATAAAAACAGTTTATTTATGCATAACGCAAACGAAGAAGTTAGTCAATCAGGAGATTGACAGGTACCGACGTATCGACTCGTCTCTCACGAGCCTTTTGCAGGATTGTCCGATTTTGTTTCTGTAGTTGGTTGTGTCATCCGCCGCTGCTGTGGCGTCTGGAGCCGAAGGTGTGTCTCTAGCTTATGCTGCTAGTTTAGTAATTACGTTACGTTAAATAGTTAATTATTAGTTAGTATTTTGGGTCACGGATTGGTTGGGTGGTCCACAGCTGTTGTGGCGGACATTGTATACGTTAAATTAAATAATAAAAAAACAATATGGCTAGTTGCAGGCCATCGAAAATTAACCTTAACTAGCGCTTAAAAGCATTATGTGGCGTCTAAAGCCACTGTTGACGAGATGAGCAACTGAACTGAACTTTCATTTGAAATTTATATATTGAAAACGAACTTCTGAAGATAGTTGCAGACATTTTTAAAACAGACTGACTTTTAACTGTTGCTTTGCATTTTCAGCTGTCCCGTATGCCGTTATGAACAGACACCCGAAGCTAAAGCTGATCCGTCGTGTCAAGCTTGTGGCCGGAAACAGGTGAACATTATGAGTATTTATTTTCTTGCACATTCTTGTTTTTATTATGTAAAGTTATTTGTTTCTTTTGCAACTTTAAGATGGATATGGCATAGCCTTTAGAAAAGCAGTGGTATCACATTTTCTCCTGGTTAATTCGTATGACAAGTGTCCAACGAGTAAAATGTGTCGCTGCTCTTTGGAATCCACTGGAAAGAGCTTGCTCCTTTGTTGAGTTGAGAATCCATCCCAAAGGATCAAAAAAACTTGGAAGATACATCAACTTTGAATAACCTGTGTTGCGACTTGGCATTCACTGCTAATCACTTAAAAAATCAATATTTAAGCCATTTTTATGATTGAATTTTGTGCTCACTTCATTATGTATGTGAAAACTAAGGAGAAAGCAGTTTTCATTTTATTTAAAATATATCGATACTGGATTGAAATGGCGAAAACATGCAGGGTAAAGAAAGAAAAATTCATTTTTACTTTACACGGATACTGCATTGATGTA